CTACCTAATACATAGAAACAAACTCACGGAGGCTGCCAAAATGAGCAGACAAAGACACATGGACCAAATGAAAGAACAGAGCAAAGCTCCAGAAAAAGAACTAAAGAAAACAGATAAGCCATCGCCTAGATGCAGAGTTCAAAGTACTGGTTATAAGAATCCTCAAGGGACTTAGTGAGGACCGCAACAGCATAAGAAAGATCCAGTCAGAAACAAAGGATACACTAATTTAAATAAAGAACAATTTACAGGGAATCAACAGTAGAGTGGATGAAGCTGAGAATCAAATTAGTGATTTGGGATATAAGGAATCAAGAAAACAACCAATCAGAGCAGCAAGAAGAAAAAAGAATCCAAGAAAAATGAGGATAGTGTAAGGAGCCTCTGGGACAACTTCAAGCACACCAACATTCGCATCGGGGGGGTGCCGGAAGGAGAAGAGAGAGATCAAGAACTTGGAAACCTATTTGAAAAAAATAATGACAGAAAACTTCTCTAACTTGAAGACAACAGACATACAAGTCCAGGAAGTGCAGAGTCCCAAACAAGATGGACCCAAAGAGGCCCACACCAAGGCACGCCATCGTTAAAATGCCAAAGGTTAAAGACCAAGTAAGAATCTTAAAGCAGGCCAGAGAAAAGCAGTTAGTTACCTACAAGGGAGCTCCCATGAGACTGTCAGCTGATTTCTCAACAGAAACTTTGCAGGTTAGAAGGGATTGGCAAGAAAGAGTCAAAGAGATGAAAAGCAAGGACCTACAACCAAGATGACTCAGCCAGCAAAGCTGTCATTTAGAATTGAAGGGCAGATAAAGAGCTTCCCAGATAAGAAAAAGCTAAAGGAGTTCATCACCACCAGAACAGTATCATATGAAATGGTAAAGGGTCTTCTTTAAGAAGATCAAAACTGTAAACAATAAAATGGCAATCAATACATATCTATCAATAATTGAATATAAAAAACAAAATAAGCAAATAAGCAGAACAGAAACAAAATCAGAGATACAGAGAATATTTTGACAGGTTCAAGATGGGAGGGGTTAGGTGGGATAGTCAAAAAAGGTGAAGGGATTAAGAAGCACAAATGGGTTCTTATCGAATAGTCATGGGACTGTAAAGTACAGCATCGGGAAATAAGTAACCAGAAAACATATATGTATGACCCATGGACATAGACAATGGTGTGGCGATTGCCTGAGGGAGTGGGGTCGGTTGGGATGAGGGGGGCAAAGGGAAAAAAACTGGGACTACTATAATAGCATAAACAATAAAATGTAATTAAAAATAAAATAGCCCTGGCTGGTGTGGCTCAGTGGATTGAGAGTCAGCCTGCAAACCAAAGGGTCGCCATTTCAATCCCTAGTCAGGGCACATGCCTGGGTTGCTGGCCAGGTCACCAGCAGGGATCGCGTGAAATGCAACCACACACTGATATTTCTCTCCCTCTCTTTCTCCCTCCCTTCTCCTCTTTAAAAATAAATAAATTTTAAAAATCTTTTTAAAAAATTAAAAAAAAATAGCAGTGGACAGCTATAACAGGTATTGGTATCTGCAGCCATAAGGAATGTAATATGCAGTCTGAATCCAGGCAGATTAATTGCTTACCAAGATAAACAGTTCAGCTTCTGCAGAACATGACAGAATCTAAAGTCACTACAACATTTTATCCAAAATATCCAACTTCCAACTGGAAATTACTAAATACGCCAAGAAACAGGAATATAAATCTTTATCGAAGAAAGTAATCAATGCAAATTGATGCTAAATGGCCCCACATGTTGGATTTAGCACAGATTTTAAAGTAGTTATATAAATATGTTGAAAGAATTTAAAAAGAAAATATGTTCTAATAGTTGAAAGAAAATGTATAATGAAGAAACAATGCATCTCAAAAGAGAAATAAAAACTACTTTAAAATGGAAATTCTAGAGCTGAAAACTACCTGAAATGAAAGTTTTGCTATATGGACTCAAGAGCAGATTGGAGATGGCACATAAAACAATGAATGAACCTTTAGAAAATTTGGTAACAATGACCTTATCTGAAGAACACAGGGAAAAAAGATTTTAAAACATCAATACAAATTAGACTTCAGGGCAATGAAGATCAAAATCTTAATAAGAAACCAGTTCAGACCCATTAGGACAGCTAGACCCAAAAACATAGCTATTGGCAAAGATGTGGAGAAACTGGATCATTTATTTGGACACTGCTGGTGGGAGTGTAAAATTGGTACAGCCACTTTGGAAAACAGCTTTGAGGTTCCTCAAAGAGTTACATGAGTTACCATATGACCCTACAATTCTTACATATATACTCTTACATATATATATCCAAAAGCATTAAAAGATTTTTCACGAAAACCTGTACATGAATGTGTGTAGCAGCATTATTCACAACAGCCAAAAGTGGAAACAATATAAATGTCTAGCAACTGACGAAAAGCTAAACAAAATGTGATCTATCCAATGGAATATTACTCAGCTATAAAAAGTAATGAAGTATTGACACAGGCTACAATTAGGATAAACCTCGAAAATACATATGAACAACAACAAAGAAAGACATGGCTTTGGGATAAGATTCCAGGTTTTTCAACCTGATGAAGAAAGCAGAATTTGTTATGTTGGAAGACTGTCAGCTGGAGTGTCTACTTGCCCAAGTCCACTTTGCATTGACACACTCTGTGACAACAGCGTGGGGTGGGTGGGTCCCAAGTAACTTTCCTTGACCTTTAGAAACCTTGTGCCTCAGCCCTCTGTCCATTAGGTTACATGTGGACTAGGGCAGATAGTGAGATCTGGCTAAACATGTCAAATAAAATCTGATCACTAATTTAAAAAACAATTTGTAAAATAGTCCTAGCATAGTTGTTGGTGTTAAAAAAAATACATACTATGCTCAGTGAAAGACTACATACTGATGTTCCCATTTATATGAAATGATCAGAAAAGGCAAATCTACAGAGACCAAAAGTATTGTGCCTTCTCCCCCAATCCCTCATCATGCTACCTAGAAATGGTTGTGATGGCTGGATTCCAGCAGCCACACTGAAACATAAGGATGAGTTAGTTACACAGTAGGGATGGCAGAGAACTGGAATGATCCTTGGTCTCTTATGACTTCATGAAACTGCCACACTAGCCCACTTATTTGTATACCCACTTATTTTGGGCTTTCTATTATATGCAGCCAAAAAAATCATGACACAGCAACAACGTGAATGAGGGAGAAGCAGCTCAGGTGGAGTGGGAGGGGAGTTTATTAAGGAAGCTGGACTACCCCTTCAGTTTTACTGGCCATTCAACCACAGCCCAGCCTCCCCATGGAGAAGTGTGCTAGACTGAGAGTGGGACTGGCTCTAGGTAGTTCCACTTCTAGGAATGAGAGCAGGAGAGGGAGGACCAGTGCTGCCCAGCATGGAGAAACATGTTACAGGCTCTGGCCCAGTGGGACAGGGCACAGGTTCTCCCTTGGCATGTTCAACAGAGCAGTGGGCAATACAGGGTAGGACAAAAGAAGGTTTAGAGTTGTGAGTATGTGAAACAAAGTATTATGTATTGTATTGTTTTCCATACAAACAACTGTAAACCTACTTTTATCCCACTCTGAATTCAGGACAATTTGGAAAGCACATTCCTGGGTAAAATGGATGATTACTCGTTTTTTGTTTTGTGTGGTCTTTTGCTTAGGAGCAAGTTCTTTATTATAAGGAATAATTGCCAATTATGGACTTCGCTGTTTCTGACCTAAATCCAAAACCTCTGTTTACCCAATAAATGGTGACAGAATGCGCTGGCAGAGACCCAGAACCTGCCATGGACAGAATCACTTGGATCCATACCTAAAAGCACTGAGTCTGATCTGAGCAGAGTAGCTAAAAAACAGACTCTAGAAGCAGATTTCCTCGTTCAGGACCAAGCTCTTGACGGTCAATTGTCTGCAAGTTATTTGACTTTTGTGTCCTGTTTCTCCTCTATAAAATGGGAATGATAATAGTATGTCCCTCACAGTGACGCTGAGAAAGCTAAATGAACTAAGCAAGCAAGCCACAGAAGGCATTTAGGAGCCACTCAATGTCAGTAGTTTTTACTGCTGTCACCCTCCAGCAGAATTCATACACCTCAGGGATCTGATCTGAAAATGTGCATCTCCAGCCCGATTTTTCTCTCCTCTACTCTGCTACAAGACACACCATCTCAGTGCTTCCTTAAGCATTTCTTGCCTCACATTGACACGTATATCTTGTCTAGCTACCAAGACAGCACCCCCTTGAGTGTACAGACCAGGTCTAATACTTATCTAGTGAGTACTCAAATATTTTGCCAAGCATATTACTCTGAATTTTATTTTATTTAAAAAAAATTTATTTTTAATTTTAGAGAGAGGGAAGGAGGGGAAAAGAGGTAGAGGGAGAGAGAGAAACATAGAATTTTTTGTTCTGCTTATTTATGCATGCATTGGTCATTCCTGATTCCTGTATGTGCCCTGACCAAGGAGGAAGTCTGCAAACTTGGTGTTACTGGGACAACGCTCTAACCAATGGAACTACCCGGCCAGAACGCAGAATTTTATTTTTAAGCATTATATATACATTTATAAGTGCACATGGTGTATTTTATGTACAATGAATTAGGTAGCTGGTAAAGGACCACACATACCTACTGGGAAATCACTTTTCTACAAGGGTAAAAAAAGTGTGGAGAACAGCAGATAAACTTAGGAGATAAAACTATACATGGACACAGAATGGATATAGGTTTTCATCACCAGAACTGTACTCTCACCCTCTCCTCCCAACTAGATGGTTTCAAGGCAGAAAGCTCTACTCAAGGATGAGCTTCCAGGTGTTCGTTCATAGACTGTGAGGGGAAGAAGGAAAGAGCAACAGACAAATGGGCACCTTGGAAGCTGGCTACAGCCTTGCCACAAGCCCCACGTTGTAGCACCCAGAGTTGTGACATCTTGGTCACTGAAGAAGTGACAAGCTCCATCTTGCTGACTTCTCCTGGTGAACTCAAGCCCCTTGCTTCACAAGAACATCAGAAAGATCCTCAGTTCCTTCCAGCTTTAGGTTCTGAAAGTGGATCAAACATACATAAATTCTTTGTAGACCAGAGTCTAAGAACCACAAAACAAATCCTGAAGTAACAAAGAATGAAGTTTGTCCCATGATTATAAGTATTTCACAGCAAATATAATTTGCATGAGAGAACTGGTTCCAAATCCTTGCCAATCACAGGGGAAAACAGCAGCAAGCCTTCTCTGGCTCTGGTTCTCATGCAATCTCTGTGTACAGGGCCCAAGAGCTAGGCTATCTGTCCTGAAGGAACAAAGGGAACTGGAGAGGGAGGCCACTAGGAGCCACAGTGAGTTTACTCACCTGTCAATGCACGGCCTCTCCAGGTCCTCCCCGACCCAAATCCCACCCCTTAGTGAACACACGTCTGTTCTCTCTCTCCCTGGCCTCTGGGCAGGCTTTTCTCACTTCCCAATTCTTCCCCACTCTCCCAGCCCAGGAAGTCTCCACCAACCCCAGGTAAGTGCTCCCTCAGGACCGAACCACTGTCAGAACCTTTCTTACCTAACCTTGCTTGGCACTGGAGGGAGGAAATGTGTTGTGCTCAGCAGCCACCCTTTTCTAGCAGTAGCGTACCCTCCCAGACTGCTAAAGATGGAGAGCTCAGATGACACCTCCCAGGGTGATGTCTGCAGCTTGGGGTCTAGAAATTGCTTAGGTGTGGCTTATCAGTGACACACTGCTGGCACTCAGGACCATGAAGGCATAGGGACTAGCGTCCATCCGTGGCTGTCCCAAGCCCCATTACACTGCATAGGAGAGGAGCTCCTTAACAGAGTGGCTGATGAGGAGTCCAGATTGGAGGGAAAGACTGGGAAAAGGAAGGCCAGAAAAGGGTCATGTTCTGGTAGTAAGGGTGGGGAGATCACTTGTGGCGGCTCCACGCTGAATTACACATAAATTCCTGAAGATTTTTGTGGTTACCGTCAGGACCAATGTTCCCAATCAAATCTTAAATAGCCCAAAGCTAGGCCCCAACAACAGCCTCAGTGCTTAGCCCAAAAGGTCACGGTGGGAGGCTACCTCCATATTCTTAAAATGCTGACCACCCTGGGGCCCCTTACAGAGACTTGATCACAGCAAAAGGTACAAAGCCAGTACTACCTCCGGGGAAGCAGAATAGTGCTGGGGCCCAAGTCTTACTGGCCTCTCAACAGTATCTCCCTGAGCCCCTGGCTACTTGGGAACCAAGTGAGGGCCACAAGCTGCTCTGCTGGGGAAGAGACAAGTTTCTGAGAAGACGCACAGCCCAGGGAGCACTCTGCTTCTCGGACTGGTGCTCTGGAGGTGCCCACATTTCAGGAGCCTGTGTGCTACGTCAATGGATGATGTGAAATCCCAGGCCTCCTCTAGAAAAGCGCAGCAGTGACTTTTCTGAATGTTAGGCAGATGGTGGCTGGTGCACCCTTCTCCTCAGAGAAGAAGTCCTCCTCAGAGCCACTTGTGGATTTCTTGTCAGGACAACAAATTATCTTTTTATTCATTTTTTTTCTTAGTCATTCTTTCCTCATGCAGTTGGCTTCTGACATCAGACACCTTAGGATGTGTCAGGAATCACATGGACTTCTGAGTGCTGGCTCCCACAACCAGACACCCTCACCCTGCCTTCATGACTTCTGACCAGAACACACCATCTCTGCAGTCAGCCTGGCCGCTCTAACTCGCAGCTGTGTGCATTGCGTTCCTGGGCTGACGCCCACCTACAATGGCTCTGATGCACCACCATTCACTCCTGGGAGTTAAGCTGGGTTATTCTGTTCAGGCCTCAGTTGCTACCCAGCCTAGTGGTAATTGGCCCAATGGGCAGCCCCACAGTTGGGACACATGTAGCATGTAACCCTGGCTCCGTGGCTCTTCTCCATCTGTTTCCCACCCAAAATCAAAAACTAGCTTCTGTGAAACGGACAGTTTTTTCTCTCGTGAAGTCTCTCTCCTCTACTCCAACGGATTTAAAAGCTGACAAGGGAAGAAGTGGTCCCTGATTCTTAGGGGTATGTCTACTGGAACTGGTTGAAGGCTGTGCTATACAGGATACCCCACAGGGGACAGTCCCTCCTTGGAGCCTGACAGTTCAAAGTAAAGGCAGGCCTGGGAAACCAAGCTAGTCATCACTGCTCCTGATGTCATTAACAAGTCAGAGATCAGACAATGGCACATAGTAATTCCTGGCACTGCTACGAGCACCTGATTTTTGCTAAGATTCCATTCCAATCTTACCAGTCCTCTCAAACCACACTTCAGGTGTCACACTCCTCTGACCTCTTACCTCCAGGGCAGGGCACTTGCCCTAGAAAGGGCTGAGTAACTACAGCGGGGGCAGCTAGGCACCTGTAGTTCTCGTGATGCCCACAGCACATGCAACAACCCAAGCCCAGCCCAGGGTCCTCTACTTCAAGTGCCAATCTGCATTAGGGACCAGCTGCCTGGGGATACCAAGGACAGCGAATCTCCAGCGGTGCCATACGTTTGGGGTGTCCCCTGCAGCCTCAACAGGCTCCTGAGGGTGGGCTGTCACCTGTTCTTTCCATAACCACTGGCCAGTGCAGCACAGTGAAGAGCCTCATACACTGTCACGGGTGGCATGCCATCTCCCTCCTTGTGACATATCTCCATTCTTTAGACTTTCCTCACTGTTCTTAGGGGCTCCATCTGGCTGGCCGCTGCCTCCAGAGCTCACTTCTTTCTTCCCGAGCATCTGACTTCCTTCTACTCTATGCTCTCCCCTCTTTTCTCCATCACATTTCCCATGTGTCTTGACTTTGGCACTGGCATGAATTGGCCTTTGAAGCTTTTGACACCAATGATGTGAAAAGTACTTTATGTTTTCAAGTTTGGAATAGACATACCTAAAATTTTCCCATTTGGGTCTTCCTCATTATTTTTATTGCTAGTCACACTTGGTGGCCTTTTTCTAAGTTACTTTTTGGTGCCTGGTCAAAACTCTGGGTTGAAGGTACCATGTAGGTCACTGTACATAAGACTTCCTACGAGGTAGCCATAAAAGACCTAATAAAAAGTCCATGCTTACCAGAGTCACCTACCTTTTCATTGGCTAAATGCAGGAGACAGGCAAACGCCAGGGGTACAGAGAGGTTCTGAGCCATGAGGGGTGGCAGGCTGTGAAACAAAGGGCAGTATTTAGCTAGGTCACTGCAATTCTATGAACAAAGGCTCTTTCATCAACATGAATACATATGTCCAATGGATAAACTAATGAGAAACAAAGATATATTTCAGATGCATTTGACTGGCAGGTTTTTCCAGTTTTTTTTTAAATGGGGAAATAAAATATATCTGCTGTTCCATTCCAAACACTGGGATAGAAAAATGCATTTTTAAGTTGGTCTGTATTAACTCATTTATCAATGCAGAGAAAAAGCAGAATAACTGCTAGAAGTGCTAGAATAGCAGGTCGTGTGCAGAGGGTCCAACACACTAAGAGCTCAGGCTGAAGCACTCTCAGCCAGGCTCAAGGAGAAGCCAGCCACTGCAGTGGCTGGCACACACCTCTTCTGAAGGTCCCGGGTGAGCTCACTCAGCATCTTCCCATCAGCCACGTCCACCAGATCTCCTTTTGGTCCAGTCTCACTGTGGCGGTTAGCCTGAGAGAAGGATATTCACAGATCAGATATATGGGGCCAGTTCACTTCTGAGGGAGTAACATAAACTTACAAAGTCCTATTTCCAGAAAGAAAAGCCTACATCTGAATGAAACCAAAACAATTTCTTAGCTATATTTTCAACAAAAAAGGACCCATAAAGGGACCCAATGCCTTAGCTTTAGACCATGAAACTGACATTTACTGTTTTTGGTAAAATCCCAGGAAATGAAAAATTAGAGAGTAATAAAGAAAAAAATAACAACATAACAAAAAACCATGATCATTTATAGCTTCAACTGGATCGCAGTTAAGGGCAGCACAGAATCCATATCTAAAACTAGACTTAGCTTTACACTTAACACACTCACACACACACAAGCACGGCTGCCACCTTCTTAGTAGGCGAGCAGCTACAAAAGGATATCATGTTCCTCCAGTCAAGACGGCAGCATAGGCAGACATGCCTCTTCTCTTCACACAACCACATCAAAATTACAACTAAATTATAGAACCACTATCAGAAATTGAGTTGAATGGAAGCCTGACAACTAAGGAATTAAAGAAACCACATTCATCCAGACTGGTATGAGGGGCACAGACGAAGAATGGGCTGGTCCCTCACCCACATGTGGTGGATTAAAAATCAGGAGGGGTATCTCAAGAGTGAGGAGTTCCAGCCCCACACCGTGCCCCCCAGCACAGGGTTCCAGTGCCAGAAAGATAAGTCCCCACAACTTCAAGCTGCAAAACCCAGCAGAGTTTGAGTCAGTGGAAGACACTGCTGGGACCCCAAGCAGTTCCTCTTAAGAACCCACACACGGACTCGCCTACTCAGACTCACTCCCTCTGAGCACCAGCAGCAGCTTGAAAGGCACCAGTGGCGTACAGAAGAAAAGTCAAGGGTCTGGCCTCAAGGTGAGCAGAGGCCATTGTACCTTTCCTAAACCCTCCCCCTACAGAGCTGGCAAGCTGGTGCCATATCTGAGACTCCATCAACCTGGCTAACACTATTTGACCTACTTTGGAGATCCCCAGAGACTCTGTCTCACCAAACTGATGGGCCCACCCAAGCTGCTTTCCCATATGAATGGTTGGTCTTGGCTCATGCTTCACAATTTCCAAAAACCTCTCAAGCAACAGCTGGCCTCTGGGAGCCCCAGGCCCAGGACTAGCAACAGCCAGCCTAGATTCACAGCTTGGCTTCGCCAGGGATCTCTAAACCCAGCACATGTAGCAGCCATCCCAGATGGCTTATAGCTCATGCCGGGTGGCCACGAGCAAAACATAGATGGGAGTTGACCATGGACACACCATCTGGGAAACCCCAAGGCCATCACACCCAGGGGACAGCTACAGACCATATCAGAGCACATCCACCCTGCCCCTGCGCAGCTGATCCTCCACTGATGGTGGAGGTTGGTGGTAAGTGGTCAGAGTCAGTCCTTGCAGCTGACTGGCCTGGGAAAATCCCTCCCACTGACCTGCCTACAGTAAACAAGGCTCAACTACAAGAGGACTCAGCCCACACAAAGGGCACACCTCAAGTACGAAGCTCGCATAACGGGGGGGCTGTGCCACTGGACCCTACAGGACACTTACTACATTAGGACACACTACCAAGACATGGAATCAAAGCAGCTCTACCCAATACACAGAAACAAACACAGGGAGGCTGCCAAATTGAGAAGACAAAGAAACATGGGTCAAATAAAAGAACTGATCAAAACTCTAGGAAAAGAACTAAACAAAATAGAGATAAGTAATCTCTCAGATGCAGAGTTCAAAACACTGGTTGTAAGGATGTTCAAGGAACTTAGTGAGGACCTCAGCAGCATGGAAAAGATCCAGTCAGAAACGAAGGATACACTAATTGAAACAAAGAACAATTCACAGGGAACCAACAGTAGAGCAGATGAAGTTGAGAATCAAATCAATGATTTGGAATATAAGGAAGCAAAACACAACCAATCAGCACAACGAGAAGAAAAAAGAATCCATAAAAATGAGGATAGTATAAGCAGCCTCTGGGACAACCTCAAGATGTCCAACATTCGCATCACAGGGGTGCCAGAAGGAGAAGAGCAAGAAATTGGAAATATATTTGAAAACATAAAGAAAGACAATTTCCCTAATCTGGGGAAGTAAATAGACAAGCAAGTCCAAAAAGCACAGAGAGTTCCACACAAGACAGATGCGAAGAGGCCCAATTCAAGACACATCATAATTAAAAACAAAGGTTAAAGATAAAGAATCTTAAAAGCAACAAGAGAAAAGCAGTTAGTTATCTACTGGGGAGTTCCCATAAGACTGTCTGCTGATTTCTCAAAAGAAACTTTGCAGGCTATGAGGGATTGGCAAGAAATATTCAAAGTCATGTAAAGCAGGGACCTATAGCCAAGATTGCTCTACCCAGCAAAGCTATCATTTAGAATAGAAGGGCAGATAAAAAGCTTTCCAGACAAGAAAAAACTAAAAGAGTTCATGATCACCAGACCATTATTATAGGAAATGTTAAAGGGACTTATTTAAGAAAAAGATCAAAACTATGGACAAAAAAATGGCAAAAATACATAGCTATCAACAATTGAATCTAAAAACAAGTAAACAAGAACAGAGACAGAATCACGGATACCGTGTTTTCATGGTTGCCAGATGGGAAGGTGCAGTGAGGGAATGGGTGAAGAGGTGAGGGGATTAAGAAGTGCAAATAGGTAGGTACAGAATAGCCATGGGGACATAAAGTACAGTATAGGAAATGGAGTAGCCAAAGAACTTATTATATATCTATGACCCATGGACATGAACAATAATGAGGGGATTGTCTGCAGGAGTGGGTGGTGCAGGGTAGAATGTGGCAAAGGGGGAAAAAAATCAGACAAACTGTAATAGCATAATCAATAAATATAATTTAAAAAATAAAAAGTAAAAAAAGCTAAGAAAGGATCTATGTCTGGAATTTGCATTTAAAAACTCAGAATGTGTACACGATGAGGTAAATGGGGTAACAGAACTGAGTAAAGGTACAGGTAAAATACTGATAATTATTGGAAGCAGATGTTCACTATACTATTCTATTTTCTATCTTTTTCAAAAATAAGCTTTAGCTCTATTTTTTAGCCCAACTGAGGTGGCTCAGTTGGTTGGAACGTCCTGTATACTAAACAGTTACACGCATGTACAGGTGGCAACCAATTGATGTTTCTCTCTTTCTCTCCCTTCCTCTCTCTCTAAAATCAACAAACATATCCTCAGGTAAGGATTAATTTAAAAAGAAAAAAAACCTCACCTTTAATTAACCAGAATCCTTTGAGGACAGTCATGTAAATTCAAAGGTTACAACAGAAACCCCTTCCTCCTTTTTAAAAATCACATTTCTCTGATGTTTGTATCCCATTCCATTTTAGTTGATAAAACTTCATAAACAGAAGCTTTATCTGATATCCAAGACTACATAGCTCAGGATCCTCAATGAAATCATAATTTTCACTTAGGCAGCAGAGAAGGTAAAAGAGAACTGGTTGAGTTTCGAAGGCTCAGAACATCGCCTGAGTAGAAGAGGATTGAAAGGAGTGGCAGAGGGTTCTAGTTAATGGAGAGTTCCATTCAGTTGGAACACATTAATCAAGGATTCACCTTGCTTAGAAAGAGAAAAGAGAAAATTTGACAGTATATATATAAATATATATATATATATTTATATATATATATTATATTATGCAATATATAGTATTTTATTATGCAATGTGGAATACATCATCCAAATCGGTATTATTAAATCAAAGGGCTTAAACACTTATGGCACCTGAGATGTCAGAATTTGCTACCCAAAAGGGCTATGTGTCAACTTAAATTGTACCAGGAGTTACCCCATACTCCAATCCTTCCTTGACTCTATACTGACAAACACTGTTTATCTGCTAAGCTGCTACTGGAAAGCAGCATAAACATCCTTCATTTTTGGTGTTTTGATCAACAGCAAGACTGAGTATGTCTTGTGTTCACTATTTCTATCACCTCTTGAGTGACCTGTTCATACTCTCAGTTCACCTCTTTCAGGTGTGATGCCGTCCTGGTGTTTCTGAATGATGCCTCCTGCGTTGGCACTCTGGATCCTGGAGTCATGGACACCAACAGCTCCCCGCCCCCCTGTCCCACTCTGGGTGCCTAGAGGAGAAGTGGAGCCCTTCACCTCCACCACCTCCATGTCTGCTAACCTCCACATCCACTTGAATGGAGGAGTCTGTCAGCAAACTCCACATGCTCTGCTTCAACTTCTTCATGTCCATCTTTTTGGCAGTCTTGGCATAATGAATTTCAATTTTATTTACCTGAAATAGGTATGTGATATAAAGTAAAACTCAGCAGAAGAGAGACATTTATCAACACATTGTAAAATGAGACTAGAGTTTAAGTGAAGAACAAAGGAGTTAAAGACCCTCCTTTGGACATATTAAAATAGTGTCCCTCATTTTAACCTAATTTCTTGTCAAGTACAATGTACATTAAAGTTAACCTGAAACTCCAGTGTAAAAGACTGAATCTAATATATATGAGAGCCTATTATCTGCTATGAACAGATAAATGCTTAATGCAGATAATTTAATATAAACTGAACCTGGCTGAGATTTTCCAGAGCCAAACAGCTAGCCTCAGCCAATTGACACAGAAACCCACTCTCTCTGCTTGCAGCTTTCGTTTACATACTTTGTGTGACTAGTTTATCACATGTGACTTATCATCGCCTTTAGAAAGATGGCTTGTTCCACATAATGAGTGTCAATTCATCCCCACAGCCCTATTTAAGAATCAGCCACTTGGATAGCAGTGGCTTAAAGTCGAGAAGAAAAATCTCAAGCTCAGAGCAATGCAACTCTCATTCAAGAGGCAAATGACACAGGCCTCAGGAGGACACCACGAAATGGAATTCTTGCTCCATATTTACCTTCTGAGGCTCAGCTACCAGGTTTGACTCCCCGTAACGAGTGATGTCTGATTCATGGGCGTCAGGCGAGTCATCGTTCTCTTGTGTCTTAGGTGAATGGCAAGGATAAGCTGAGAAGTCAGAGGTCCCGAACGGTCCTTCAAGTAAGTCACCTGACTCTTCGTAATCACTGTCAACAGCCTGGTCAAGAAAACAGCTCTTCAAGTTTGGCAGAAGCTGTGAGAGGGACTTAGATATATCCCTGAAAGAGTGTGTTTACACAGCAAGAGCAAATGGTTTGTTATGCTGAGTCAGCCTAACATGGACTTAAAGGTGTCTCTTGTTATCCTTCTTTTGTACATAAACCCTGTGAGAAAGACATTCGTTAATAACTAAGACTATGGCCTTGGCTGGTGTGGCTCAGTTGGAGTGTCACCCCGCAACCAAAAGATTGCAGGTTCAATCTCTGGTCCGGGCATGTATGGGAGGCAATCAAAAATGCTTCTCTCCAGCATTGATGTTTCTCCCTCTCCGTTCCTCTCTCTAAAAGCAATGAAAAAATGTCCTTGGGTGAGGATAAAAAAAAAAAAAATTAAAGATAAAATAAGACTGTGGAACAAGAGTTAAAAGGAATACAGCCATCACAACTGCTACAATATCCCCTTGACGTCTACCAAATTTAGGGCTTCATTTTACAGAAAGCGTTCCTGAAATGGTGTGACCTGTCGGCAGGCCAGCAGAAAGTCAGTGTTGGCCAAGCCTAGTGGCAATAGATTAGCTCTCTGAGGTGCGGCCCAGGAATGGTTTTTTAATTAGCTCTCCTGGTGACTCTTATGAACGCCGAAAGTTTGAGAAACACTGGTCAAGAGATCAGTCTGGATTTTCACTAAAATATAAAAACCGAAGTCTCAAAATAAGGTGAATAAACTATACTTCCAACTCTTTTTCTTCTCTTTACATGCAGGAACCCAGATGAAGCCTAATGTTCTCCCCTTGTTATTTCCACTTGTGTCTCAGTAGTAGACTCACAGGAGGAACCCTGACACTACCCAGTATTTCCAGGACCTAAAGATGGGAGGGAGCAGCTTGTACGAGTTCACATTGTCAGAACCAATATCAGAGCTACAGCCTGGTCTCCTGAGACCTACACATGAACCTTTTTTTCATTTCAGGACCCACTATCTTTTCATGCCTATGAGTTTTGTCTCCCCAACCAAAATATCAGCTCCTGAGAAAGTGTTTCCTTTTGAAATTCCAAAATAGCTAATACAAGTGCTTTGTATATGCTGAAAACTCTGTCCACATGTTGACTGGTTACTGGAGTATGCCCACTTTTCTGCAAATAGAGCTAACAGTAAGGCAGACTAGGTTCTGGCTATTTCCTTTGTTCTGCTCAGCTTCCCAATGCCTAGGACAGGGCAGGCATCCAAAAACCTCCACCTGATTAAAATCCTACAGCATTTGAGACATGGAAAGGGGAAATAGGAGCAGGAAAGACTCTAGTATTTGGAAGAGAGGACAGAGCTCTTCTCCCTTTACCTGTAATCCAGGGCAGAAGTTAGATGTGTCGTTAGGGTTATTATAATCATAGTCTCCAATTTCTTCATAATGTTCAGTCTCTGCCCTCTGACCACGGGCTATTGTAAGGATCTAGAATGAAGATAAGAACAACTGCAGGAAGCAATTTCTAGAAAAGCAACCACTCAACTGGGTTCCTATGCTCAATCTCCTAGAATTTAAGAGTTACAAGGGCTCTCAGAAGTTATCTAATCCAACCAACTTCCCACCGCAAAACTGCATTCTAGAGCAAGCGGAGGTAGCAGGGCTCAGAGCCCTCATCAATCCCAAATAAATCAGAGCAGCTGGTTTGCAAGGAGGCCTGCACACAATTTTATTTGAAAAAGGGGTTCCTTCACTAAATTCAAGACTGCCTATAACTATCTGAAAAGAAGTCAACTTTTTGCTACATGCACAATTTGGATAGAAAGCTCACTCATTCACTACTTTAATGAGGCAAAGGCTCTTCTCCACAGCTATAGGAAGAAACACCTAACTCTCCTCCCTGTAATTATATCCAGGATCCTAGTCCCAACTTCCAGAGCCTCACAGATCAAGCTGCCTCTTTTTTTCCCTCTTTCCTTTGGAGTGCCTGCCAAGGACACCCCTTCAGATATTTGGAGGCCTTTAGACGAATGGTTTTTTACCTGGGATACATATCTTTGGGGGAGGAAAATGGTATTAAAGCTGTGTACAGTTTACAAAAGAACAATTAATGTATTAAATTATATTTTATTGCTTATGCTATTACAGTTTTCCCAATTTTCCCCCCCTTGCCACCTCTACCCAGTGCCTCCCCCTGCCCCTAACCACTCCCTCAGGCAATCGCCACACCATTGTCTATGTCCATGGGTCATACATATATGTTTTCTGGTTACTTATTTCCCGATGCTGTACTTTACAGTCCCATGACTATTCGATAAGAACCCATTTGTGCTTCTTAATCCCTTCACCTTTTTTGACTATCCCACCTAACCCCTCCCATCTTGAACCTGTCAAAATATTCTCTGTATCTCTGATTTTGTTTCTGTTCTGCTTATTTGCTTATTTTGTTTTTTATATTCAATTATTGATAGATATGTATTGATTGCCATTTTATTGTTTACAGTTTTGATCTTCTTAAAGAAGACCCTTTACCATTTCATATGATACTGTTCTGGTGGTGATGAACTCCTTTAGCTTTTTCTTATCTGGGAAGCTCTTTATCTGCCCTTCAATTCTAAATGACAGCTTTGCTGGCTGAGTCATCTTGGTTGTAGGTCCTTGCTTTTCATCTCTTTGACTCTTTCTTGCCAATCCCTTCTAACCTGCAAAGTTTCTGTTGAGAAATCAGCTGACAGTCTCATGGGAGCTCCCTTGTAGGTAACTAACTGCTTTTCTCTGGCCTGCTTTAAGATTCTTACTTGGTCTTTAACCTTTGGCATTTTAACGATGGCGTGCCTTGGTGTGGGCCTCTTTGGGTCCATCTTGTTTGGGACTCTGCACTTCCTGGACTTGTATGTCTGTTGTCTTCAAGTTAGAGAAGTTTTCTGTCATTATTTTTTTCAAATAGGTTTCCAAGTTCTTGATCTCTCTCTTCTCCTTCCGGCACCCCCCCGATGCGAATGTTGGTGTGCTTGAAGTTGTCCCAGAGGCTCCTTACACTATCCTCATTTTTCTTGGATTCTTTTTTCTTCTTGCTGCTCTGATTGGTTGTTTTCTTGATTCCTTATATCCCAAATCACTAATTTGATTCTCAGCTTCATCCACTCTACTGTTGATTCCCTGTAAATTGTTCTTTATTTAAATTAGTGTATCCTTTGTTTCTGACTGGATCTTTCTTATGCTGTTGCGGTCCTCACTAAGTCCCTTGAGGATTCTTATAACCAGTACTTTGAACTCTGCATCTAGGCGATGGCTTATCTGTTTTCTTTAGTTCTTTTTCTGGAGCTTTGCTCTGTTCTTTCATTTGGTCCATGTGTCTTTGTCTGCTCATTTTGGCAGCCTCCGTGAGTTTGTTTCTATGTATTAGGTAGAGCTGCTGCGTCTCCCAGGCTTGGGAGAGTGTCCTAATGTAGTAGGTGTCCCATAGGGTCCAGTGGCACAGCCTCCCCTATTCCCCAAGCTGGATACTCAAGGTGCGCCCACCATGTGGGCAGTGTACACCCTCCTCTTATAGTTGAGCCTTGATTGCTGTTGGCACATCTAAGGTCAGCCACTGCCTGCGTTCTGTCTGGGGTCACACAGTATAAGCTACAAAGGGAGCAGCAGATGGCTGCTACCAGTGCTGGGCTTGCAGGTGCCCAGGAGAAGCTATGTTGTGAACCAAGGCCGGCTGCTGCTAGTGCTGGGCCCGGGGCAACGTATCGAGAGAGGTAGGAGGCTTGCTGAAGCATGGGACAAGGCAAGCCATTTGTATGGGAATGCCACAGGAAACAGCTCGGTTGGGCCCAAAAGTTGGGTGGGGCAGGACCTCAGAGAATCACTCGGGTGGAGCACGCAGTGTGAGCCAGGCTGATGGAGTCTCAGATATGGCACCCACCTGCCAGCTCTGTGGCTCTGTGGGCGCGGGGAGGCTCAGGAAAGAGACAATGGGCTCTGCGAGCCCTTCTCTCTGGGAGGAAGCTGCCCCCCAGCTCTCGCCCCCGATGCCGCACAATTCAGTTTCTCCCCGTATGTCCGATGCCTTTCAATCTGCTGCCCCGACGCCGGACCTCAGAGGGAGTGAGCCTGAGTAAATCTGTGCACAGGACCTTTGAAAACTCCCTGAGACTCCACTAGTTTCTTTCTCCCACAGCCTCCGTCCCCGCTGGATTTTACAGCCAGAAGTCACGGCGACATCTCTTCCTGGCACTGGAACTCTGGGCTGGGGGGCCTGGATGGGGCTGGGGCCCCTCCCCCTCACTCTTGCGATCCCCTCCCTGATTTTTATTTGACACACCTGGGTGTGGGACCGGCCTGCTCCACGCCTCTGCCCCTCCTACCAGCCTTGATGCGGTTTCTTCTTTAATTCCATCACTGTAGGACTTCCACTGAGCTTGATTTCTGATCGTTCTGAGTGATGGTTGCTCTAAACTTTTAGTTACAACTAGAATTACAGTTTAGTTGTAATTTTGATGTGGTTGTGAGAGGAGGTGAGCCATGTTTACCTGTGCTGCCATCTTGACCAGAAGTTCCGAAAGCACAATGAATATTTTAATGCAACTCTATACGACAAAAGGAGCCCTCAAAACTCAATGTTCTTGTAATACAAATCCAAAATTAATATTAAACAATAAGATATTTATTGAATTAAGTGCCCATTTTATCCCACTGCTCCTCATATGACATAATTCCTAATTACCTCTCCATTTAGAATACTCCCTTTTGGACAAACCAAAAATTGTTCAGAGTCTACAGGAAATGTTTCAGAGAGGGTACTTAACCACTTCACTTTTTGGCTGGCTGCTGTTAGAATCCCCCATTAAGACATTAAACAGGATGGCTGATTGATCTGTGGAAATCTAGGTAAGTAGATCATTTTTAAGGTAGTCTTCACTTTCCATTGTTTAGAAGTTGTTTTCCTCGTGTAGTGATGCTGGAAGGGTGAGGTATCCGCATCCCCTGTGCCTGCTGCCCTGCTACACACAGGGAAATTTGTTCCTGAGGTTAATCGCAAGCAACTCGAGACCGGCCAGGCCTGGTGACGGGCCTCGCCATCTCCTTCAGCCCCCGGGAGCCTGGCTCTGCTCCTCTGTTGCAGGCTGGTTTTTGAGGAAAGAACTTACTGCTAGCACCTAACTAATACATACAGTAGCCACAGTTGGTATTACTGCTGCAACTTTGTATCTTTCTGCATTTCTTTCTTTTTTACCTGAGAACAGCATATTATTTCTTTCTGCATTTTTAAGAGTATAGTTGACTCTTGAATACAAGTTTGAACAGCACGGGTCTGTTAATATGATTTTTCAATAAATATGTACAGTACTGTAAATGTATTATCTCTTCCTTATAATTTTCTTTAATAACCTCTTCTTTTCTTTAGGTTACTTTGTTGTAAGAATACAATATATAATACATAAAAAATACATAATATGTGTTCATCAACTTTATGTTATCAATAGGCTTTTAGTCAACAATAGACTATTAAGTAATATTTTGGGGGAGTCAAAAGTAATGCATGGATTTTTAACTGTAGTGGGGGAGTCAGTAACCGTAACACTCAAGTTGATCAAGGGTCAACTATATTTCTGTTAAGTGAACTGTATTGATTAGAAAGAAAATTATGAGTATGTCAGAACTGGTTTTAAAAAATAGGATGTGAGATATCAGTGAATTCAGGGAACTGTATACCTATCATTAAGACCTTATGGTGGAACAGGCAAAATAAAGAAGAGGAAACTATAGACTTGTACACTTGATACCAAATACTAAAACAACCAGGAATGCAAATGAGCAGAGACTCCTGATGAAATGGAACTTAGAATGAACCACTGCCTGGTCACCCTGGTGACAGGGACATATACTTGCTTCTTGCATCACCAGAAGAGCCAGAGGCAAAGGAAGTGAACAGCAACTGGGGTGCAGTACCAGGTAGTCTTGAATGTTCATCCTGACAGTCATAGAAAGAACTGGGCCACTTGCGCAGTTCTAGGAAACTCCTGAAGAACTGCAGTCAGGTGCCTGCCACCTCTATTACCCCATGTGTCGCTGTGGGTTCCCATCTATACCTGGATGGTGGGGGAGGGACATGGGCTTGGGAAAGCATCCAGCTAGTGGATCCAGTGTCAATGAGAACATGAAAGAATCAAGAAACTAACATCTTGTACAAACTTCAACAATAGATTTTGTTTACCCTCTAGCATTTCAGCACATATGCCTGTGTCCAGCCTTCCAGCTGGGTGAGATATTTCCTAAATTAGTGTCCACCTATCCTAGGAGCTTTTCCTTTCACTCTGCCTTGCCCCCATACCCACAATCTTCTGGTAATTCCTCTTGGCTAACACACATTCCTCTTCATGTTCTCTCACCTTTTCCTCAAAGACACAGCCTGATAGTCAACACTACCAGCCACTTGACACCTCCAATTCTGTAAACAGGTTCAACAACAACAGCCCTGAGGAACCAAGAACCAGCCTTACCTTGGTGCCTGGTTTGAGGTGCAGCTGAACCAGATTATCAGTCTCATAGTGGAAATCTGTAGGAAGAGTGGTGGCTCTCCAGGTCTGGCTCTCCAAAGTGGACTTGGTCAGAATAGTAGCAGCCTATTAATTTTTTTTAAAAAGTAGGTTTTAGGCATCTTTAATGAAAACGGTCACAGCCTATTCTTCTTTAGAAGGAGCTTAGGAAGGGGATAAGCAGCACTAGTCTGCCATCAGAGTCCCCAGTTCTGTGTAAAACTGCAACTTGTTAGCATTACTCATATTCTAAACTTTATTCTCTATTTCTCAATTCCCCTATGAATTGAGAGACAATAAAGCAATCTGTTTAAGAGTTAAATTTATAATGAATTAAAAAAAAAATCTAAAAGGGAAAGAGCAGTGCAAAGAGTAATTTAAGAAAGCACAAATAATAATCCTCCACAAACCTTTGCTTTTCCAAAATACACATCAAAGTCAATGTCATCGTCAAAGTCAATTTCAAATTCTTTCTTTGTGTTCTTCTTTTTGTTTTCTGATTTCAAGGCAGCATCTTCTACAGAAATGGACACAGATAGCAACATTACTCACTTCTAGGTCCTACATTATTTCTGCATCTTACAAGACACACTGCCAATCTTACCAACCATACCATAAAGCATTGGGAAAGACAAATCATACACCTAATTTTCATCCTTAATTTATAATTTATAATTTTGCTAACAAAACACGATAAAAATTTATGCATATTAATTCCTCCTTTTCAAAGACGGAATGAAAAAAACATGGTGCTGGCATTAACCCCCTTCAGAGTCCTGCCCAGGGCTGCCTCATGCAGTAACTTGAATGGGACACAGAGACCAGTGGTCATTCCCACCTACACCCATTGTCTGAAGCTACGTGGAAATCAGAGCGCAGCACCCAGTCAGGAGCCTAGCTCTCCTGACTCTTCCCACTCAGAGACCTCAGTGTTAACCAAGCCCTCATCCCAGGCCAGGCCAACTGACTGTCTAACTGGGAGGCTGGCTTGTCTATGCACATTTGGAGCTGGCCGGAAGGTTTACCAGGACAGCGAACAGCATTTCCCTTCCTCAGCTGACTTGCTGTCTGCTGGCTGCCTACACTACCTCTTTTTCTAAGAAGCTCCACCTGGAAGTACATACGTTTGAGCCGGGGTCTGAAGCGCCAGTGCTCTGGCCCAGCCCACATCGACATGGTGCGGGGACTAAAATAGGAATATTCTCCAGGTTTCATGGATAGAAGAGGGCACATGGTACTAATGTCTCCATCCCCGAGGGGAATCATTTCTTCCCTGTAACACACATGAAATAATGTTTTTACATGTACAATCATATCCACATTGACATATACAATACAACCATCTATTTACTTGTACAAGGGGGGAGCTAAAAATAGACCCGGGAACTTATTTATAAAAAATTGTATATTTATTCTTACATGTTTAAATTTCAGTCACCTTCAAAGTACTCTCCAGCTGATGCAATACACCTATTGAGATGTTTTCTCCATTGCTCAAAAGTTTTTGAACTCGTTAATTTTAATGCCTATTAGTACTTATGCTGTGTTTTGTTACACCTCTTCCACATCAACAAAATTTTTCCCTTAAAGGACTTTTTTCATCTAGGGAAACAAAAAAAAGGTTGTTGGGGGGGGGATGGGCAGGTGAATAGGGAGGATGGGGCATGGAGTGTGGGGTACGCATTTTTGGGAGTCAAAAACTGCTGAACACTCAGCTTGATGTGGGCAGGTGCACTCATAAATCACCCACCATGAAATGGGTAAATGCGTTGAGTCTTCAAAAAAATTTAACTGAAGCCAAGTGCAGCCTCTCACACCACCCCCAGCTGGTACACTGATATGGATGGGTTCCTAGAACACTCACCTAGCAGGGGAAGCCTGTGCTATAAAAGGCCTGCCCTCCAGAAGATAACTGTTTTTTTTGGTTCCCCCTTTGTAAAGCAGTAGGTGATGCAGTTGAAGGTTCTACCTGCCTACCTTTCCACGAATGAGCAACATTTCTAAATGAGGCCAATATAAATACTTCATCATTAACAATCCTGTAGTTTTTACTTCATCAAAGTGTTTTGCTTCTCTTAAGTTTATAACAATATGATCATACCTACACAAGTACTCTGGATGTTCCAAAGTGCTTCATAAAATATGAGTTTACCCAATTGAAAGACAAGAAAACAAGAGGTAGAAAGAACTTGAGTTTTTACCTAAGACCACACAGCTAGTAAGGTGCCAGAGCAAAGAGTTGATACAACCCTTCTTGGGGGTCTTCCAACATACAGGCTTCTGCCACAAGCTGATAATCTTTCACCTTTTTCTCACTGTCCTTTCAATAAAGGAAAGTTCCATGAACTGTGTTGTAGTTCTTCCTAAAAGTGAAGATGTTATTCTAATTTATATCCCCCAAATCTTGGGAGTCCCCCTTATAATCTCACCCGTAAGCCGGTGTGCTCTAGCTGTATTCTTTGCTGTGTGTGAAGTGTCTAACTGGCCAGCCCAGCATGGCAGTTTTGGTTTGGCTGTTCACCCTTTCTGCAAATTACTAGGAGGTAGCTTTCTCCTAAAGGCATCTGACATATCAGCAAGTGTGTGAGTACTGCTCTGCTGCCCTGTAGAAAAGGTTAACAAGGAAGCTTCAGAAGGCTTTCTACCTGTAGTGAGCCTTAAGTATAAATCCCCTTTATACCAAGCATTATGGAATAAGCTAAAACAGTTTTAAAAAAGGACTTTGTATTTACCTACAGAATCTTTTTTTTAACCTAGCAAATTGTAATGGCATATTTACTGTGCAAATAAACATTAATTTTAAAGATTAAAAATGTACTAAAAAAAATCACACTGTTAGTCTGCAGAATGCCTAGACTATGTTAAGTAATAACTGTATGTACTGTGAAAATCAGAGGGAGAAAGAGGGCTTCGGCAACATCCCCACTCAATTGTCATGGATATTCTTCCCTTAAAGCTTTGGTGGTTGTGTGGGGAATCATTAGGAATTGATAGGCAAAGCTATAAAGAGCTCAGCTCCCAGGCCCTGAGTCTGTAGGCCAGGGCTGGACTGAGGCCCTGGAGGCTTGAACTCTAGCCATTTAATAATTCTTAATACACAGTGCTGTGTGGCAGGCGTCCTACTGGTCTCCACTCAACTGCTAATCTAACCACAGGCTACATTTTCCAAGGCTTGCCCCTCCATCAAACATCTCTTAATATCCTGGAGAAGTTCTACTTCTACCTGCCACCCTCCCTGCCCTACTCCCCCACCCTTCAGTTTAGCACCAGTTCAGTCATTAATACCTTCTAGTTAAAGGTCTCCTCCCATTTAGCTCCTAGTACACAACCTGCAAGCAGAACAGCTACTCTTGCATGCACTGGGCAGGCTATGGTCTGGGCCTGGACATAGGACAGTAAATCACACTACAGAGACCAGGAAGAGGGAGCGCACCAAGCTGCTCCTGGACATCGAGCACTTTCTCAGCTGTGTCCTCGTTAATGTACACACGCAGAGCTCCACTTTTTACACTGTGCACAGCTGTCACTGCTACCACCCAGGCACAGATAACACGGATATCCCACACACAGGGGGATTTATAATCCAGCATTGCCCCCACCCTACCCTGGAGACCTTTCAGGATGGTGCAGGGTCTTCAACCCTGGAGCATAGGATAGTCACCCAGGGAGATCTGAGGAAATGGCACATGACTGGCCTCACAGACTCCAGTTTAAGAGCTCTAGGTGGAAGCTGACATATGTAACTCATTACATGCAGCCAAGACTACTTAATCTCTCTATGCCTGGTCCCACATCTGTAAAATGGGGCAAACAGGACCTAATTATAGGATCTTTGTGAGGTTTAAGCAGTTAAATTTTATCTATTACATACATTATGTGAAATAACGCAGGTAAAAAAGGTCCCTAGCATAGTGTCTGGCACAAAGCCAGGACAATGAGGCACTCAATAAATACCAGCTATTACTATACTCATCTAGTCTCAACCCTTTGAGAAAATGAAGAACCCAAAAGGGGATGCCACCTGTCCCCCATCTCAGCTTCCATGGCAGGGTCAGGTCTAGTTCAGTTCAAAGAGGTCAGCACCACACTAAGCGTAGGGACTTTAAGATGGACAAAACCCTAACAAGAACCTAAGTCCCCACACCTAAAGCACTCCCTAGGATGGAATCTTAGGTATTACTTTGTCTGGAGCTAGTGAGAGAAATGGAGACACTCGTTCAAAATAAGCATCACCCTGGCTCCTGTGGCTCCGTGAATTGAGTGCTGACCTGTGAACCAAAGGGTCACCAGTTCCATTCCCAGATGCCTGGGTTGTGGCCAAGGTCCCCAGTGTGGGGTGCATAAGAGGCAACCACATATTGATGTTACTTTCCTCTTTCTCTCTCCTTTCCCCTCTCTAAAAAGAAATAAAATCTTTAAAAAAACAAACAAACAAAAGAAATAAGCATTGAAGGTCCTAACAAAACAAGAGAATGGAAGTGACTTTGCTACCATAAGTTCCTCAGATGCCACCTCATTATTTAGGAAGAGTGACAGCTCTTCTCTGACATTTGAAAATATCCCACTGAGTTGCCTGCCATTTCCTACTTCTTGGAAGAGAGGATGGGAACAGTGATCAAATCACAGGTCACAACACAAATCAGGCAAGAAGTGTGGTAAAGGGCCAGGTGGTAACTTTGCCTCGAGGTGCCAAACGTTCAGCCCCTTGATGCCCACTCTGATTTGAAGACACATTAGTCAATCGAATCACGTCACACATGGGCAGACAAATTGAGCCCAAGAAAGCGCTCTTACCCTAGAGACACTAAAGCAATGATCTTCAATGGATTCTTGCCTCAGTGGGAACTTATACTGGATGACTTCAAAGGTTTTACTCATACTCGACTAGGTTGGTTGTCCCCAGTCCCAGGGTTGCAAAGCTGCTCTTATAGGCCACAGGCATTATCAGAGGGTTTGTTCTACACCCAGGCCCATTCAAGACCTTTAAGGGCCCTCAGCACTATAGGATTATGGGATCCTGCTTCCAAAACGTATTCAAAATTAAAATAATACTAATCTGTTAAGTACATATAATAAAGGCCAACAAAGTTCTGACTTTCTTAGATGGTTACTAGAGTGATAAAAAATGTAAATGACTACAGACCATATCTTCTCTTCCTGCTCCATATGCTCAAAGTTATCTGCCTACTGAGTTTCCCCTGTCTGCTTGTCCCTGGTAACACAACACTGTCTAGTTTCGCTCTGCCAGACCCTTCAAGCAGGGCCATATTTTTTCTATAAGCAACATATCAGCCTCCTTCTGTCTATAACAATAGGGAGCAATTTAGCCAAAAGCTGGACCAGGTGCAGTGTGCAGAAAGGGAGTACCCTCCATGCTACCAAAACACCGCTGAAGTAGCCAGTATATTCCAGCTACTTTTTACTAGCACTTTACCTATTTTAGTTCTACCCTTACAAACTGCTGCAATGGCAGTTCTATAACCAGTAAGTGGCTGAGCTGCCATTCAAAGGTAGGTATGAATCCATCACGAGTCACATGACTCCACCTGTGTGGACAACACAGCACAGCGGCCCAGTAATCACAGAGAAGGAATGAGACTGTCCAGCAGGAAATCTGGGGAAACTCCCATGGGAACATTTTCTGGGATCCTTAGAGCCTTACTGGCAGCTCTGACTGTGGCAGGGCTCCCTCCAGCTCCTGAAGTCTGCATGATCCCCACAGGCCGTGTGGTCCAGTTCGTCGTTGGCATCAAAATCATCCTCCATAGGCCCACTGGGGAAGTCCCCACCATCGCTGTCTTCTCTCTCAGCGTTGATGTCAAATACCTGATCATTCTTCTTGAACTTGTCCACCAGGGCCGACACAGACTACAGGGACAAAGAGACGGCTCTCCTCATTCCTGTGACCACCACAGTCACTGCCGTAGAATAGCCTCAATAGGTATGCCTCCTTCCCCTCCCCAGAGCCAATGTTCTCATGACAGAAAAATGCAGAAGAAGTTTATATTGTGCAGCATAGATGGAGCTGTACTGTTGCTGGGCACATTTTGTAAAACATGAAACAGGAATCTGCATCGTTAGCTACTTGTTTAGAGAAAAAAGAGTTGTCCATGGAAACCATTTGTTTTGAGAGTTGTAGTAAGTAGCCTAAAGAGGCCAGGCTAAAAATACACAAAGGAAGCTTTACACATGACAATTTCTCAGGAAACTCTATGCCAAGGGACACAGTCTCAAAATGCAGGAAATTCCTCGAGCTTGACAGCAGTCCCAGAGACCAGTGGCCACTGGGATAACCATGTTCATGAGTAAATCTGATAAAAATATGCACCCAGGAGTAGCAGGGCTGCCTCACCCAAGGGGAGCACAAAGCCAGTCACAGAATTTACCCACCAGTCCACTGGTCTTGCTGGAGCTCACAACCCCAACTCCTACTCCACCCCCCACCCACAGGCCTTAATCCCTATGAAAGTGCCAAAGGAAATGTTTTCTGTACCCGTGGCTAAATAAAAACGATGCCACGGTTTTGGTTCCCACTAGGCAGAACTAATCTCAGACCATCTCACTGAAACCACAAGGTGCAGGAGAAATGCCCAGAGCCCTGCAAAGTCCAGATAATGACCATACCTCATTGTGTGTTTCGCTGTCCCATTTAGTGAACTGGAACCCGGCCAGGGAAGGGCAGATCTGGCGGTCTTCCGCACACTGCTGCAGGGGTGCTGGAGAGGACAGGCATAGCACAGCGGGTCAGAGGCAAACAGAGCATGCTCCTCACCCCCAGAGGGACCAGAGCAGCATGATGGCATGGAGTGAACCGTCACCGCAGTTCTCGGGCAGAGACTGAGCATTCCACACGGGCATTCCAACAATTAATAAAACACTTCAACAGAAACCTGAAGCACATACATTTGACTCTGAGATGGATTCTGTGCCCTTCGCCATAGTCGGGAAATCAAAAACCCTCCCTTAAAGTGTGCAAAGTGCGCAGCCCATCATAAATGTTATTTTAGTCCTAAACTACAGATTACCTACCTACCTCACAGAACTAAAGCCCTAGATGAGCACATAAACTTGGAAAACAGGTTGTTAGTACAAAATTGTTTTTGCAATTTTTACTTAGCAAATTTGAGAGAATACTCAAAGAGGAAAAGGCACTGTAACTTGTGCTAGCTCTGAAGAAGGGTCTATTTCATGAGACACACAGAAATGATGACATACAAGCACAGCTCTCACATCCTTGCGCTTGGCCTCCCCCCCTCCCCCGCCCCATGACTGTCAGCTGTCACCCGAGGGTAGAAGTCAGCTGGGACTCTATAGGTGGCCCTGCAACAGGAGTAGGTTGGGCACTGCATTTACAGGTCTTCCTGATGTCTCAGGACGTGGCCACTATGGCAAGAGAGGCCTTGGATATGAAGACAGATGTGGCTCTCTGGCTTTTTACTGGCTCCCTGAGCACAACAGCCCGAGATGATCCCCCACAGGGGGCATGGAGGGAGAGGCTAGAAGGGGGGTTAAAATCCTTGCCAAGTCAATATAAGAGGCTGACAACACAGCAGGTCTGTTCTCAGACCACCACAGAGGCACCTGTGAACAGATCACAATGTCCTCATCTCCGCAGGTTCAAGGCCCCTCTCACTCAACCAGTCTCTCAGAGCCCCTTCCAAAGCCCAAACTCTGACACTCCAGGTTAGCTGTGGCTCTAATATGTGGCTATGAGAACTGGCTGCTAATGGTTCACCTGAGGAACAGGCACATACAGACCAGAAGCGGGGGAGCACTCCATGCTGCAGAAAATTGGGAAAGTCAGCTTTGCCCAAGAGTGTGCCCAATTGGGCATTCCAGAGGGAACATTCTGGGTAACTTAAATAGGCCACACAAGAGCACGATGCACTTTCTATACCCCACAGTTACAAGAAACATCTCTAATGACTAGCATACTCTGGTGAAAGGCACAGTGTAGACTTACCTTTTAAATCTGTCATTTCTACACAACCTAAATCCGGCATTTCAGGAGGTCCTCCACTGGAGAGGGTCTGGACATCAGAAGGGAAAAGCAGTTCGCTTCTATAGTCATGACAGTGGAGGGTAGAGAGGAACACCCCTGCTGTGCTGCACTCGTCAAAAGAGGCTGCTGTCTTCTGAAATAGGGGATCAATCTGAGCAGAAACACAGAGGACCCAAGATTATGGAATGAAGTCAAAGGAAATATCAAGTCCATTCACTGAGTCTGCTCATCACAGCTGCACACACTGGAATAAAATATCTCTGCACATAATCAAAAGGGGAGAGGGCTATCTAACTAATCAGATAAAAAGCCCATCTCAGCAGATACCAGTTCAAAAGTCTGTATATAGTCAGATGAATAAATTGATATCACTCAAGTACACAGTATGCAATCGTAACTCTGTAACACATCCATGTCAATGTTTTTGTCGAAACCTGAACAGTGACCTTCTGTTGGTCTCTTTCCGTAAGTCACCATTTTTCAATGGCTATCTCTAGTGGAATGCTATCAACAAATTCTGCTGACTTAAAAAGCCAGTGTGATGGATCTGTCCATCAGGTCTCCCTATTCCTCAGATGAGAAATATTGTCAACAATTTGGAAAAATGCAACCAAGAGATCCAGGTAAAGAACAGGCAGAGTCAGCCAGGTTAGCTAGCAGGGTAAAGTAGGGAGGCGGGTAAGAAAGCCCCCCAGCTGGGTCAAGGAACAAGACCGGCACAGCCAGGTGACACCAAGTCCAAAGGCAGAACAGGGGCCAAGGCATAAGAATAGAGACAGGGCAAAGCACATGCATGTGCAGCAAGAGGAGAGAAGTCAGCTGGGACTTTATAGGTGGCCCTGCAACGGGAGTAGGTTGGGGACTGCATTTACAGGTCTTCCTGATGTCTCAGGACGTGGCCACTATGGCAAGAGAGGCCTTGGATATGAAGACAGATGTGGCTCTCTGGCTTTTTACTGGCTCCCTGAGCACTAAGCCTGACCTCACTAGAACTGAGAGTCTCCTCTCAACTTCCCAATAACACGTCTCGCCAGCCCCAGAGTAGCACATACGTCCCTCCATATTGTCCCTGTTGCCTCACCCGGTCAAGCACATGGTTTGGTGGGTTTTCCTCCCAGTACCTAACACCTCCCCCTTCCTTCCCACCCCCACTGCCCCCATCACAGTCCTGGCCTCAGTTAACCCTGTCTCTAGTCTCTCTCATTTCCTATCCCACAAATACCAGTGTTGCCACTCCATCCCCTCCTTGAGATGCTAACCAGAGCGACGGCTCCCATCAGCATCCTACTCCCCTAGTGGGCTTGTGGAGGAAATTAAACTCAGCATTCCAAAGAGTCAACACTGCCTCCTTGCACAACCCAAAGAAACTGTACAATAACCCACATTAAAGCTGAAAGCACTAAAATAATTTTCCTTACTTCTGTCTAGAATCATATCATGCCAGTGTGAGAACAATGGTTCTTTCACGTACATTAGATCTGATTGATGTCTTTGAGTAATTTCATGGGAAAATGAATTACAGCTGGCTGCACTATTCGGAAAGAACCCTTTGAAACAAGGGTCCACAGCAAGGAAGAGAACAGTAAAGAAAGCCTTGGCAGGCGGCAGACTCCATGGTAAGATCTAGGGCTGTTTTAGCCTCGTGAGGAAGGCCTCAGCCCCAGCGCAACTTGTATTCAGCCCAGCTCCCTGGAGAACCAACACTTCCCTGTTTCGCGGATTGTGCTTATGCTTCTGCCTAGAATTGCCTTCCTGGCCATGTCCACCTGTCAAAGACCCACCCTTCCTTCAAGGCCCAGGTAACAATCCACCTCTTCCACAAACTGAGCACACAGTAGAGAGCTGTGTCTAAAACAGGTGAGCTCACACACAAGTAGTATTTTCAGCAGCCTATTCTCACTGACAGCAGAGCTGTTCTCTAATCTCCACACCATCTCCAAGAGCTGACCTCAATAAAGAGTTGAAACTTCAAGTTCTAAGTTTATAATTATCCCCCCCGCTGCCCCGCCGCCCTTTTCCATCATCCGTACCTTTGGCTGTTATGCGTTTATGGCAGAGGACAGAGCAAGCAAAGCTCTCCAGGACTGGGGTACTTGGCATTTCTTCGTAACTGTTGATTTCACTTGGCATAAATATACCACAGCCCAACAGCCACAGGCTTAGAGGGGACAGCGCTGCCAACTCTCCTGTTTTTCTTTATAACAAGGAGAGAGGCTACTGCAAGCCTCCTTAGGCTCCCCCAAACTGGGTCTACCTGGTAAGAAAAAAGATGGTTGGAAAACAGGATTTCCAACCATATTGTTGACGAGAATATTTTACTGTAGAAAGTGAGAATGATAGTGAAATAAATATTCAGATTATCGGAGGAAAAAAAATAAGAACTTGGAAAAGGAAAGGAAGGCGTAAGAGGATTTCATGGCTGTCCTTCAGATGTGTATAGCATATTACATGGAAGAAACACTTTGCCATCACCTGATTCACTAACATGAAACCTGGGAATGGGTGGCATCAGTGTTGCCTACTTTCACAGTTTAACAAAAGTGAGATTCAGAACCTTTTCCCAGGCCACACAACTAAGTGGAAGCAGGATCTGAACTTCACATCATTTGCCTCCAAATCCAGTGCCAGCCAAGGTCAATACTGACACATAGATGAAGGAAAGAAAATGGCTCCCTCCCCCACAGTACCTGCCTCTCCATCCCAGCCCTACGCTCCCTGCCCATCCACACACAGTCCTCACAACACTGACTGAGTAGAGTAGAGTAGAACTGGCACATTGCTCAAAGTGAACCTAGCCCCGTCTGCTCAGCCTCACCAGTACCATCTGCTGTGAGACCACCAGGACTAATCACATTACTGCCCTTTATTTACTTGTCACACACAAAAGACCCCCAGAACTGTATATGTTCCAGGCTCTGCACATTTGTGACATACCCTTTGGCCCCCATCTACTTCTTTCTAAAAGCTGATATTTTTCCCCTCAATGCCCTCTACTCAGCCATCAGCAAAATTCCCTCTACTCTCCATTTCTCCCCTGAAGGTCTTGCCACCTACTTACTCATTTATTCTCAGTGGGATTGGTATTACTCTCAAGGGGGTAAAACTGGTTCTTGGGAGAGGGCGAAAAAAATCTTAGCAAGTATAATTATTTATTGTTATACAAACCTCAATCCTACCTGACAAACCTTATTCCTTAATAATCAATTTCAACTTCTGGACAAGATGGAGGCATGGATAGATACATTTTGCCTCCTTGCACAACCCAAAGAAGGAAAACAAAAAATTTAAAGACCAAAAAACAACCAAAACTGCCAGAAAACCGAACTGTATGGAAGTCCGACAACCAAGGAGTTAAAGAAGACACATTCATCCAGACTGGTAGGAGGGGCAGAGATGGGCAGCCAGGGTAGGAGAGGGCGCACGGCGAGGCAGTGGCTGGGGGATGAGGCGGGCGAGGCAGTACCTGGCAGACCAGGTGGTCCCACATTCATGTGCGGATGTCAGGAGGAACAGCTAGGGAGTGAGACAGACCATGCAATCCAGGGTTCCAGAAAAAGAAAAGAAAGTCTCAAAACCTCTGGCTGTAAAAAACTGTGGGGGATGTGGCAGCCGAATAAACTCCCAGCCTCACAGCAGAGTTTGTTGGAGAGACCCACAGGGTCCTAGAATGTATACAAATCCACTCACCTGGGAATCAGCACTAAAAGGGCCCAATTTGCCTGTGGGTAGTGGGGTAAGTGACTGAAAGCCCACAGAGAGATGAGCAAGTGGCATTATTCCCTCTTGGACCCCTGCCCCTCATACAGCATCACAACGCAGCAACCTAGGTTGCCCCGCACTGGTGAATACCTAAGGCTCTGCCTCTTCTAATGTAACAGGAGCACTGAGACAAAGAAATATGGTCAAATGAAAGAACAGAACAAAACTCCCAAAATAGAACTAAGCAATGAACAGATAGCTAATCTATCAGATGCATAGTTCAAAACATTGGCAATCAGGATGCTCACAGAAATGGTTGAGTATGGTCACAAAATGGAGGAAAAAGTGAAGATTATGCAAAGTGAAATAAAGAAAAATATACAGGGAACCAACAGTAAAGGGAAGGAAACTGGTACTCACATCAACAATTTGAAGCAGAAGGAAGAGATAAACATTCAACCAGAACAGAATGAAGAAACAAGAATTCAAAAAAATGAGAAGGCTTAGGAACCTCTGGGACAACTTTAAACGATCCAACATCCGAATCATAGCGGTGCCAGAAGGAAGAGAAAGAGCAAGAAATTGAAAACTTATCTGAACAAATAATGGAGAACTTCCCCAATCTGGCCAAGGAAATAGACTTCCAGGAAGTCCAGGAAGCTCAGAGAGTCCCAAAGAATCTGGATCCACACCAAGGCACATCATAATTACATTACCCAAGACGAAAGATAAGGGGAGAATCTTAAAAGCAGCAAGAGAAAAGGAGAGTTACCTACAAAGGCATTCCCATACGACTATCGGTTGATTTCTCAAAAGAAACCTCGCAGGCAAGAAGGGCCTGGCAAAAAGTATTCAAAGTCATGAAAGGCAAGGACCTATGTCCAAGATTACTCTATCTAGCAAAACTATCATTCAGAATGGAAGGACAGATAAAGTGCTTCCCAGATAAAGTCAAGTTAAAGGAGTTCATCATCACCAAGCCCTTATTACATGAAATGTTCAAGGGACTTATCTAAGAAAAAGAAGATGATCAAAACTATGAACATTAAAATGACAACAAACTCACAACTATCAACTGAACCTAAAAACAAAAACAAACTAAGCAAACAACTAGAACAGGAACAGAATCACAGAAATGGAAATCACATACAGGGTTGTCAGTGGGGAAGGGGGAGAATGGGGGAAAAGGCACAGGGAATAAGAAGCATAAATGGTAGGTACAAAATAGACACAGGGAGGTTAAGAATAGTATAGAAATGGAGAAACCAAAGAACTTACATGTGTGACCCGTGGACATGATGTGAAGTCCATACTAAAGGGAGGGAATGCTGGAGGGAGGGGGTGTGCAGGGTGGAGGGGAATAAAGGGGAGGAAAAAAAATGGGACAACTGCAATAGCATAATCAATAAAATATACTTTAAAAAATAATTAATTTCAAAGGGAAGGGGTAGGAACAGACTATCTAAAAAGGCTCTCTGAAGGGTGGGAAACAATGACAAAAGGCTGACTACCACTCTAAATGAAATAGAGCGCTCACTCAAGGACACTGCTTGCCTTGCAGGCCTCTCCAACATGGCCACGTCTTTTCCTGCCACCCTCAAACCGCTGTCCAAAAAAGGGTTGGTGATTTCCTTGCTCCTCATTGCAACTTTCAGACTCTTCCCAGTTTCTAAAACCCTCTGCTTTGAACATAACATCAGAGTTTATCACACGCTGCCCATCTGTTATAATCACCTTCTCTAATCCCCAAGCCTACCCCTGTCTTGGGAGATGTTAATTTTAGCTTCTTGGCTCATGACTATCCTCAAACTTTACTACTGTCATAGTTTTTGGTGATTTCATTATCCATTATGTTAATTCATTCAACATTCTGGCCTCTCAGTTCCTTGATATCCTTTACTCCAAAGGTTTTGAGCTTCACCCTAAGACTCTAGGACTCAAAGAGATCCTAGTATGACCCCCACATCCTCTTCCTTTTGCTTCAAACTGAATCATTAACCACAACTGCAACCATTCCATACCCTCAGTCCTAAGTGCCTCCCTCTGACAACCACCTCACACCTTTACACCATACAGCCTTGGTGTCCCAACACTAACTAGTCTCTGACCCCACCAGTTCCCACATATACTGATCAAATGACTTTACACTACCCCTTACCGCCTTCTTCCCCAGCTAAAATGCTGTAAGCAATGATTATGACCTCTCCCGTGTACTCATTCTTAACTCCAGCTTCTTTCTGTGACATTCACTCAGCTAAATGCAATCCTTTATTAAATCCAACCTTCTGACTATTTCATGCTTCTACCCACACAGCTAATGGTGAAGAAACAAAGTCATGCTGACTGACCTTTCTTCAAATCCATCAAATGGACCCTAAGTATTGTCTGGCAAGCAAACTCTATTTCCCTGCTCCATTTTCTCTCCCACCCCCTACATGGCTCTTTCCTTTTTCTCTCCTCAAACCTTTAACACTTTCTTCCTCCAGTTGATGACCTAGCTTCATATTTCATTGGTAAGGGAAGGAGGGGGCAAAATCCCACTCAACCAGAAGACAATGTTCAGAATGGAAGCATGAACCCATCTTTCATCGACATGGGCTCCATGGCCCAGCCCCATCTATGCTGTCCATTCCCTTCCCTCCTCACATGTTCAAGAACACCATGCTATCATTTACCCATCCTTTTCTGCATTGTCAATAATTCCTTCTTCACTAGATTGTTACCATCAACAAGCAAACACGCTGTTTATTCTCCCATTTAAAAACTACAAAACTTTGCCCTGGCTGGTGTAGCTCAGCTGGTTGGGTGCCGTCCCCCAAACTGAAAGGTCATCTATTTGATTCCCAGCCGGGGCACAAACCTGAATTGTGAGTCAGGTCCCCAGTTGGGGGCAGGCAAGAGGCAGATGATCAGTTTCTCTCCCACATCAATGTTTCTTTCCCTCCCTTCCCTTCTCTCTAAAAATAAATAAAATCTTAAAAAGAAAAAAGTCTAGACTTTACTTTCCCCTTCACTTGTAAACCCATTACTCTGCTCCAATTCAAAGCAAAATTCTTTAAAATAGCCTATACCCGATTTCTTCCCATTTGTTTTCCCCTATTATGAAAAATGTCAAGCCTACAAGAATGCTGAAATAGTAATATGTAACTCCATGTAATTTTTGCCTAGATTTCCCAATGGGTAACATTCTCATATTTTCTTTCTCTAACCATTCCCAGCCCCAAGAGAATCTTTTTGAAACTAGAAACCATGACACTTTACCTGTCAGTTATTAAACTACTACGTCTCAGCTCCAAAACCTACCCTCCAGCCTCTCTCTGTGATGCTGGGGCCACATTTCAGCTTTGCCAGCAGCTCACTGTTGGGATCCACCAATAGGGGGCACTAGAGGGAGACTGCAGGGCTAGAGTGAGAAGGGACTTGCTTCTTTCTGTAGGTTTCCTATTTCTGTTAAGTGTCACCCAGCAGTGTTTCCTAATCTCAGATGTGACAGGTCCCACCTGTAGCAGTAGCTGCATTCAATTTGCACATTTTCTCACTCTCACAGTACCAGCCTCACCAAGTGCTCCTCAGAGACACCACACTAATCGGAATGCTCACTGGGTCTTTGGCCCATGAGCCCATTCTCCAAATTCAGGGACACCAGCATAGCCAAGCGTCACACCTTCCTGGAAGATTTGGGCTTCAGCTCCACAGGGTCCCCTCCAAACTCACCAGTAGCCACAGGTTGCAACATCTGACATGGCTCCTCCTTCCCTCCTCCCTGAAACACCCTCACTCCCTCATTTGGACAGCACACTCTCCTGACTTTCATCCTACCTACTGGATGTTTTTCTTCAGCTTTCTGAACTCAAGACTGGGGCATCCCAGGGCTCAGTCCTTCTTCAATGTCCCCTTGGTGATCAAGTCCAGTGTTATGACAGTAATTACCATTTACAAAAGTCATGGGGATAAGACAGAGAAGTACCCTAGTCAATTGTTAGTGGGGGAGTAAACTGGTACAACATTTTTCTGAGGGTAGTGCAAATTCCCTCTCAGAATTTTCTTACAGATATACTCCCAGACGAGTGCAAAGATGGTATGTACAAAAATGTTTGTGGAGGTATTTTTAATAGCAAAATTAAAATAAAATTTTGTGGCAACACTTGTTTGCTTCAAATTAACTGTGATAATTATAAATGAAGCCTCTACTGCCATTCCTTTAAACAGATTTCTTAGGATTTGCCAGATTATATATTGGCTGCTTAGAGCAAGGATTCTGGAGCAGACAACTAAACTTCATATCCAGGCTTACAGACTAGCTCTGTCGTCTTGGGCAAGTTACTTCACAGCCCTACATTCACCTCAGTCATCTCTTCATAAAATGTAAGAAGGATGTTGTAAGGATTAAGTCAGTTAACACTGGTCACAGGCTCAGGGCAGCACAGTGTACCCAGCAAGTACACAATAAATGTTTGCTATCACCATCACTGCTGCATGTACTAGGAAAGAAAATAAATGTTTTAAAGAAACATTAAAAAAAATAAAGGTTACGGATTTCTCAGTAATTTGCCATCTTCTTCTTTTCAATCATTCTGAAACATTGAGGGAAAGCAGGGACTTGCCTCCTTCAGCCTCCACTGCAAAGCTAAAGGATGATACTGAAGAGACCAGTTGAATATTTTACCCCCTTGAGGCCTAAACAAGCACAAACCAGTAAGGCAGGCTCACCCCCAGGTCTCAAATGAGTCAGAGACCACACTGTGCTCACAGTTCCTCACCTCACACTTCCGATCTGCCTCAGAGACATTAAGGTTGCTTATGTTCTGCTCGATGGTTTTGTGTGAGTGCTTCTTCTTGGGCTTTGGAGCCTTTTTAGTTGTTCCCATTTCAGTCGCACTTCCATCTAAAGAAGGAATAACACCCTGTATTGCAAGGACTGCTTTGGAGGGTCCAATTGAACCGCAAGTTCCTCAAAACTCTAACGAATGATTGTGATTTAAACACATGCCATTATCTCACAGCAACAGGCACATCTGATCTACAGCTGAGGAAGGAACCAACTACTCAATTAAGGTTCTAAGATGGGTCAACTTGCAAAGACCCCCAAATCAGAAGTTCCCTAACTGGTAATGTTTACTTAGTCTAGAATAAATAAAATCTAAAAGCTTCTCACAGACAAATCTGAAAATGTCTGTCTTTACCAGATGAGATCACTGCTTTCTTGTGAATTTACCAGTATATTACTCAAATAACAATCTGCTATACCCTTAAACAAACCCTTACCTTAATCCAGACCCCACCCATGTACCTGCATCATGGCTTTCTGCCTCTTCTGGAGATGGTGCATCCTTGCCCAGTCCCCCAAGAACTCTGTACACATCAGCATGGACAGCATCCACACGCACAGCATAGATCTTGGTGCTCGCATCCAGAGTGCCTGCAGCCACCTAGTGAGATGATTAGGACCGTACTTGTGGGAATACAAAAGAAGAACTGCTGAACAGGCAAAACACAGCAAGCCTTGTAAAATATTTACTTACCCTTATGAAAAAAATGACAAAGATCCCTTAAGCCTGATAGAGATTAGATAGATCATAACAGAAAGATAGCTTCTCTACATTTCATCAGTGTAGGAAAGAAGGGAAAATAATTAATAAAATGTCTTACACAAAAAAGGTGCTCACGTATTTGTAGAATTCAATGACTGCACTATGCTAAGTATGAGACATAATCATCATGAATTAAGATACAAGAGAAAGTGGACATCCTTACTTTAAAGTTGGTCAGTTCAGTGTCTTTCTGTTTAAGAATCTCTGACATGAAATCGATCAAGTGTAAGCCAAAAGCATTCTTGGTAGTGATTTTCTAGAAAGAAAACATTGCAGAAAGGTTTGTTATTTATAGCCTAGGCTCACATAAATGATGCTACCCTGAAAGGTAGCCAAATTTATAAACAGGGATATTCCACATCTCATCACAGAAATCAATTTCCACAAACGTTTGGGGTCTAAGCTAAATCCGTATGTGTCAGTCCTCATTCTCAAAGCCTAGAGAGTAACAGCACATGATTCCTGAGTGCTTGCTGTGTGCAGGCCCAGTTCTAAACACTGCCCCAAAGAGGACCGCATCACCCTCAGAACAACTCTATGAGGTAGGCACTATTCTCATTTTTCAGAGGACCCTGAAGCAAAATGGTTGGGGACTTGCTAAGGCCACACAGCATATAAGTGGTAAAGACAGGATTCTAACTCAAGTGGACTCTAAAACTCACAATTAGCTCCACAACTCTACTATTTCTCTACTCTCTGCTGCAGAACTTACACTGTTATCCCCTAAGCCACGCTGACGTACTGCAGGTGGCAGGCAACCTGTCAGGAGTACCAAAGGTGTATAAGAGTAAAACCATACTGAAAACACCAGCATTAAGAAGAGTCACTGGAGAATAAAAGTACACAGATATAATGAATCATGCAGTCTCTACAGAATCAAAAAGGCTAGCTTTCCCTAGTGTTCAAGTTGCAGACTCTTTGTTCTTAAACTAGCAGATACTCACATTTTCAGTGGATAGTTTGATACAGGTAGAATAATGCTCTGTAATCTGTGTGTTTGTAAACTTAGGAATTGTAGCTGAAAAGTCAATGTTCCTAAATGGAAAACAAAAATAAAAAAGCTTTGACAAGGATCCCTGACACTGTAACTTTTCAAAATCAAGAGCCAGAGTCCATGAGGTAGTGTGGAGACACCAGACCCATGCACTCCACATCAGGGTGGCGGGCCACCCCAGGAAGCAGCCTAGACACACTCACCGACTGGAGGGGGAGGCCAGCAGACGTGGAGAGTCTGTGCTGAACTGCAGGTCAAAGGCCCGGGATCGCCTCCGCTGCAGACGCTCCTTTTCATCGTCATTCTGAGGGAAGTCTTCAAGAACCGGGGTGCCAGGAGTGTTGAGAGGGGCCTTCTTTGGCGGGAGAATCGAGAACACCCGTTTTGATGGTGAAACACTTAGAGGGTGTCCATGGGTCTCTATAAAAGAATGATTATGGCTTACAGTGATGGAACAATACACTTGCTCAAGAACCTTCAAAAGAATGTTTCCTACATCTAAAGTGGGCTCAGGGTCGCCACAGAGGGTAAGTTCACTGCATGTTTCCTACCAAGATCATTGCCAACTCTAAGAGTCTGTGGCTAGAACCTCTATAGCTTGGGTTTCTTGGCAGGGCACGTAGGTGTGGGGCAGTGATGGCTTTCTGATGTTTCCTTGCCCATCTAGGACAAATATCTACTACGTGAACCTATAATACTATTGGGATATAAAGGTGGGTAAGAGGAAGTTGCTGCCTCTGATAAGCTCAAAACTAACAGAACAAGACACATACAACCATAGTCTTAGGCAAGAGAAAGACAGATGCCAAGATAAGGGTGAGGTATGGGCTATTAAGTCAGACAGGTTAGGTTCTAATCCCAGCAGGACACAGAAAATAAACAACACAAATGTGTAAAATAAATATAACATGCTAAAGAATCACCCACAGATTATTTGCTAACTGCAAAAGGAAAAATTGGTTTTTACAACAAAAGATTTAGCAGTCACCATGTTAACCAAGCAATCAACATAGTCCCTTTAAAAAATGAAACAACTTGAAACTGACTCATCCTGATGGAACAAAATATGAAACTCACAATATCACCCATAAAATATTTTTGCCAAAGATGGGTAACCTAAATTTCACTAAGATTTTAGATCTAACTTCCATTTTATAAGAAATACAGAGGTAGAGGAACAAGTTAAATGGTATCAGAAGGAAACATTTAGGCAAATCCAGAATGCGGGCCCTGACTGTGTGGCTCAGACGATTGGGCGGCGTTCTACAAAGTGAAAGGTTGCCGGTTGATTCCCGGTCAGGGCACATTCCTGGGTTGCTCTTTCTCCTTCCCTTCCCCTCTCTCTAAAAAGAAATAAGTAAAATAATTTTTAAAAAGATCCTTAACCTCATCACAATTACAAAGTCCTTTTACATGTAAGATAACACATTCACATGTTCCAGATGTCTTTGGGGGCTATTATTCCCAGGAATCATGCAGAAGAAAGGGTAAAAGTTGCTGAACAATGCACTCAAGCAGGTAAAGGGGTTCCTTTCCTGAGAGCGCACAGAGCTCATCCATAGCAAAAGGAGGGCGGAAAGCACACACATAGCGGCAGGTAGGGGAGTAGGTGCAATGGTGGACTTTGGATGTTCTCTTTATTGCTATTCTTTTCTTACAAAAATAGGAAGCGAGTGAAAAACCAAACACTCTACAACTAAGTGTGAGAGCTGAGGAGATTTCAGGAGAAAAAGAAAGGTATGAAGTAGTCATCTAGAAGGCGAGTCGGTGAATCAGGGAATACAGCATGACTGCTGAGCAGCCTTAGGGTCCCCTTGACTATCGGGAGCACTGGGCAGCGTAGGAAAAGTTAGGATTAACTAGGGTCGTGATTTAGTCAAGCAAGTATAAGGAAGCAAAAAGAGGGCAAGGGGTTGTGGCTACATGAAAGGGAGTGATTACATTGACTGACCATGGAATATAACTTAAGTAAGGAGGGGAACAAGGTCATGAGGGAGGTAAAGGATAGTGAAAAGAATATTAGGTCTGCTGGGCCAAAAGGTTGTTGAAGCAGGGAACAAGAGGGAGTGAGTTGGATAGGAGCAATAAGAAATGGGGGTCTTAAAATTGAGATGACAGAGTGGTGCAACTACTGATAATGACAAGGTCTAGGGTATGACTATGGTAGTGAGTGCTGTGGCCTATTATCGTTGGGAAAAGCAAGACCATTGGAAGAGACAGATGAAGAAACTCAGAGACCTTTGGGAACATTTCCAGATTTAAGAATTGGAAGGCTTGTCTTCAAACCCTAGCTCCATCACTTACTAGGTGGAGAAATTTTAAGCAAATATATAGCCTAAGCATTTGTGTCTTATTCTCTTCCAAATGAGAATAAGAATGTGTATCTCAGATGGTTCAGAACTCATGATATTAAAAAATACATATGCACAATATAACACATATTTTATAGCAACACATTAAAAACAGTGATGCAAAATAAACAGTGAATGGTTTGCCCATGTAAGGGGAAGGAAAAAGGAGTGATTAGGGATAAAAAAGTAAAAGTAAAAAAATCTACAAGAACTTCACATGTTCCCCTGAGAGCTTCCCACAAGCTGCACAGTGATTAACATAACCCTCAGATGAGGTCAAAACAAAAGGAAAAGAAAGTAAAAATAGAAAGGAAGGAGGCAAGAGACATCTTTAGAGACTGAATCAGGAAGACTTGTGACTATTTAGATGTGTGCACTATAAGGCAAGGAAGGAGATGAACCTTGTCTAAGCGGAAGGGAAAGCAATGAAGAAGGAACTTGTCCAAGAGGAGACTCAAGATGGGAATTAGAGGCACGCTTCAATTCTTGGAATATTCTGATTTCTTGTATTGTTTTTGACATCATGCAACTGTTCATTCAACATATGATTACTGAGCTCAAAAACACTTTCTGCATCCACTTCCTTGCCTCTTACTCATTTTCAGCTCCCTCTGGTCTGGCTTCTATTCCCATGACCTTATGAAAACTGTTATTACTGATCACGCACAACTGCCAAATCCAGCACTTTTCAGGCCTCATCTCTCTTGAAATTCAGCAGCATTTGAAGCAGTTGACAACCCCCTGCTTCTTGAAACACTCTTGGCTTCTATACCACTCTCTTCTCTGCTTTTCCAGGTCTTCCTTCTACCTAATCATAGCTTCTAAATGTTGGTCTTGAGTGTTTTCTCTACAGGCTCTTCCTAGAGTTCTCATCTGTTCCCATGGTTTTATAACCTATGATGATAATGTCCAAATTTATTTCCTAGTCCATGGACCACTTCCCTGAGTGGCAATCTCTTATCCACGTGTTTATTGACCCCTTCACCTGTCTCTTGGCTAAGTCATTTATTGCATCCCAAATGTAACTCTAAATTCCCAAATGTCTTACCAAGACATACAGAGGGGTTGCTCACCTGAGTGACCTGGCTCACTGTTTAGTCACGATGTTCCATCCTAGCCCAGGTCACGCTCTTTCCTGCAATTCCCCCCACCCCTCTTATTTTCTTTGGCACTTGCTCCTGTCTGAGACACATTCCTCAGTCTCTGCTAAGAGCTTCCCTGAATCCCTAATCTAAAGGGTCCCTCCCTTCCACTCTGCTATTCTCAATCACAGCGCTTGGTCTCAGTCTCAACTGTAAATTATTTTGTTTATCGTCTGTCTCCCAAAGAGAATACAAGTTCCAATAGGCTGTAATCTTACTTTTTTTGTTCTTTATTGTATCTCTGCATCTCACAAAAGACCAGAGCTGAAGGGAACTTGTGGGATGAATGTAAAAATTAATGTATTCGTGTTAAGCATACAGCGATAACCACAATACTTCCATGGCCATGGATTAACGTGCCTTCGAAGAAAATCACTTTTAAAAAGGAAGCTAATCTTGAGATAGAGAAGAGAGAGGAAGGGGGGAGGGGAGAGAGAAACATCGATTTGTTGCTCTACTTATTTATCCATTCAGTGGTTGCTTCTTGTATGTGCCCTAACTGGGGATGGAACCTGCAACCTTGGAGTATGGGAACGATGCTCTAACCAACTAAGCTACTCGGCTAGGGCAAGAAAACCACCTTTTAAAATGCAAGGACAGAGGGCGCGGTGGAGCAACAAGGCGAAGAGGGGTCCCACATCCGTCCGCGAACAGAAAAGACGCCAATCGAGACGGCGTCCCGACCGGCCAAGCGCACTGACCGCCGCTCCCCTAACCCGCGCGCTCCCTCTCCCCCTCC